TTCAGAGATGTGATAGTGAGCAAACATTATTCACAAAGAGAAGCAAAGAAGGAAAAATTATAATTGTAAGTGTTTATGTTGACGATTTGATTTTTACTGGAAATTGTGAAGTGATGATGTCTGAATTTAAAAGCTCTATGTTAAGAGAGTTTGATATGTCAGACTTGGGTAAGATGAGGTTTTTTATTGGAATAGAGGTGTTACAAAAGTCTGATGGTATATATATATGTCAAAAGAAATATGCATTAGAAGTTTTGCATAGGTTTGGCATGATGGAAAGCAACTCAGTGGGCAGTCCAATGGTTCCAGGATTTAAAGTAAGTAAAGATAGAGATGGAAAAACTATTGATGAAACATACTACAAGCAATTGGTGGGAAGCTTAATGTACCTCACTGCCACAAGACCTGACCTCATGTTTGTTACTTGTCTCATAAGTAGATATATGGTCAAACCAATGCATACTCATCTACTATTGGCTAAGAGAGCACTTCGATATTTAAAAGGGACTGTGAATTATGGACTTCATTATAAGAAAGGAGGAGATGGTGAGCTGTTAGCATTTACAGATAGCGACTATGCCGGAGATGTGGATGATAGGAAGAGTACATCTGGTTATGTGTTTTTAATGAGCTCAGGGGTTGTTTCTTGGTGTTCGAAAAAACAGCCTATTGTGATTTTGTCAACGACAGAAGCCGAGTTTGTGGCTGCCGCAACATGTGTTTGTCAAGGAATCTGGATGAAAAGAATTTTAGAGGTGCTGGGACATTCTCATGGAGATGGTATAACTATAATGTGTGACAATAGCTCAACCATCAAGTTGTCTAAAAATCCCATTATGCATGGTCGCAGCAAGCATATTGATGTGAGATTTCATTTCTTAAGGAATCTTACTAAAGAGGGCACAATTGAACTAGTTCATTGTGGGACTGAAGATCAAGTTGCAGACATAATGACCAAACCATTGAAACTTGAAGTTTTTCAGAAGCTTAGGAAGATGCTGGGTGTATGTGAAATTCCTGACATAAATTAGTTGTTGTACAGCATTTAGTTTAAGGGAGGAAATGAAAGAGTTACTGCTTAATTTTAAGTTAGAATAAAAGTCCTATTTTATAGGACTGACTTAGTCTTTTAGTTGTATTCTGCTTTCCTTAATTTTAGGAACCACTTAACATTATTAGCCTTTATTTTAGCATAGTTGATTGTTTCAGTTATTATTTCCATCTTGTATTCAATGGCTTATTTAAGCCAATACTACAGTTAATAAAGGGATTCATTCAGTCCAATTTGTTCAGTTCTTTCTTTTAGTTTCAATATACATAAAAGTTCTCAACATTCCATATGTTCTGATCGAAGAGTCATGTTCTGAATCATTCTTTGTAAATTCTGATTGTACTTGCGTGACATCCAGCCCAGAAGTTCTGAAATTATCATATTTTCTTAACACTTAGAAAATTTTCCAAGTGTTTAAAATTTTGATTTTTCAAAGCAATTTTTGACTTTTGATTTCTTGAGGAATCAATTTCATGTCTTGATGAAATATGATTGTTGAAACTTGATTTTTGATCAAAAAGTCAAAATTAAACTTTTCAGTGTGTTTTTGACCATTTTGCCCTTGTGAATGACTTTCTTGAAAAATTGTAATTCAAGACTTGAAACTTAATAGAAGCAAACCTGAGGATCAAGAATGATCCTTTGAGAAATGAGAGAGGAAGTTTTGGGGTACAACACACGGATAAATGTAAAATAATTTTACACTGTCAATCAATCACAATTATATTAAGTGTTAAATCATATTATTATTTTTAAATAAATTATATGACATTGTTAAATGATGAATTTTTATTATACGACATTGTAAAATCATTTTACATTGTAATCAAGTAATAAAGTTAGTGGAAAGAAAAATATGAATTAGTGGGAGGTTTTAAGTAGTAGAATTAATAATTGTGATATTTATTATAATTTTTAATAGTTAATAATTAATTAATAAATTAAATAAAGAAAAAGGTTTTATTTAGTTAATAATTAAATTACGAAAAAGATTTTGACAGAAAATCTTTGATAGAGACATTCTAGGATTATAATTAAGTATGATATAATAATAAATTAATATTTTTTTTTTACTTTTATTTTTGAAATCATACACATTAAAATCAAATATTAAAATTTGTTTTGATGTATAATTATTTTTAAAATCAAATAATTATTATATTTAATTATATAAACTAGAATAATTATTATATTTAACTAATGTTATAAATTTATATTTATTTAATATTTAAATATATTTAAATAATATATTTAATAATATTTAAATATGTTTGAATAATTTATTTCAATTAATTAAATGTTTAAATACTTATTAATAATATTTAATATTATTATATTTGGATAATATACTATTAAATAATGTATTTAATAACATTTAATTATTTATATATAGTTTCAGTTTATTTGTGAGAATAAAATTATATATTTCTGAAAATAAATTATAATTTCAGTTTATATTTTTCCTAGGCAAGTGGTAAGGGCATTAGTCGTAAGGTCTCGTAACTTGACAATAAATTAATAAAATAAAATAAAATATAAAATAAAACAAATATTATATAGAATAAAAAATAATAAAAATTAAAAAACATAATTTTATGTCAGCATATTTGCATTAAAAAAAATTAAAAAACAAAAAAAATCTAATCAACACATCACGTATACATTGAGTGTGTGTCATTTTTTTCTAAGGTCTAAACAAACACAATCTTAAAATGACAAGGGTGTTTTTTAAATAAAAAAAATTATAAAGGGTAATTTTGAACTCGCCTATATGATTGGACTAAAATGGTATTATCCCCATATTATATCTTCATACATGTCGAATAAAAACTAGAAAAGACTTTTATTTTATCTCATCTTAACCAATCTTTTGTCTCACCTAATCAAATTCATTCATCAATCACTTGCAACCTAATCCAAAAATTTTCTAGAATCATTGTAGCACCAACTTTGTTGAAATTGTATTTGAGTAATTGAAGTTTGTTTGAAGTCTCATGTTGTTTAATTTTTTTAGATTGTCGAGCATATACATATGTGAGAGCAACATAATCTTTTGAACATCTTTTGAGTGATGAGATCTAATCATATTTAATTTGATATCAGAGCATATTGACTGAACTATAGGTCATCCAATGTGTATATCTACACACTAAGTCCAATGTTGTTGAGCGTGAGAGGGATGTATTGAGAATATCTCATATCCCATATTAGTTAGACAAAGCCTGAAAAAAAATGTATATAGAATAATCCCTCACCTTACAATTTAATTTTATAAGGTTGAGTTAGGTCAAACTTTAGGTCTAATATGCACCCCTCACCTTACAAGTCGATTATACAGGAATATATTAAGTCAAACTCTAAGTTTATCACAGTATCGTGAACCTATTGTTTCGGATCACCCAGTGTTTATACCCACGCACCAAACCCATAGTGTTGACGTGAAGGGTGTGTTGTAAAGAAACTCAAGTCTCAAATTGGTTAAAGATAAAGTTCACGCAAAATTTATATAGTGACACCTCTCACTTTAAAGCCCGGATTTTTTAGGGATGAGTTAAGTCTAACTCTAATTATATCATTGTTGTGATACACGTGTTAGTTGAAAGTTCCACTTTACTTGGATAAAATGGAGGTTGCATACTTTATAAATGAGAGAACCCATATACCCAATGTCTTAAGATTTTTGATGAATATGTGGTGTATCGGTCACGCGTGTTGCTCTTGACACAATGTGGATACTCCTACTCATGACCCATCACTGGTATTAGATTCAGAGACCGACTATGTATTAAAAGTATTCCTGACATAGTGGTGGTCAGATAGCGTGTCCCGTTTAAGTGCATGTGACAAGATAAGAGAGTCAACAGTGGTACAAGTGCATGTAGATGAAAGAACTTCCGTTTGAGAGGTTCAACACTTTATAAGTGAGAGGATCCATATACTCGATGCCTAAAGATTTTGGATAAATATGTGGTGTCTCTCTTACTTTTATATTACTCTTGACTTAATATAGATGCTTCCCATCATAACTCATCGGTATCATGTTTAGAAATGTGGTTGAGACTAACTCAACCATAAAAAACTACTTGTAAGGAGAGGAGTGTTATTATATATAAACTTTTTGTGGACTCTATCTTTAACTAACGTGAGACTTGAATTTTTTTTAATGTATTTGAGAAAATCTCATGTCCAACATAGGTTAGAAAGCGGGACTCTATCTTTGTTGATTTTTTCGCTGGTGCGAGTGATGTAGAATATTTACGGTGATTTTTTCTTCACAGTACTTACGAGCACATCCCTTTACTTTTATGTTCTATGGGTTTGGTATCACTGAAATCTCTAAAAAAAAATTTGTTTCCTAAGTTTGTGGGTCGAAGATGATAGGTATTCTAGTATGAACACAAAGTTAATCACATGAGATGGAGATATAGTTTTTGCTTCTTTTCTTATATGTTTCTTCTCTAAATGAGGGATATACCTACAAAGACACCTTGACGCTAAAGTGTTGTAGGGTGTAAAATATGGTACAAGGGAGATTATGAAGGTGTGAATAGATGGAAGGAGTGTATCGCATATGTCATTTCCCATTATCAAACAGGTTTTATTTCATGAAGTATTCATGAGAATATAGTAGTTACGCAAAAAATTATTCACGAAGGAGTATATCTTATTGAACAAGTTCAAAGTAAACTCTCTACTTGGAAGACGTCAAACAAGTCATATACTAATTGAAACATCAAACATGGTTCATACAAGTCCCAAAATACATCCATTATCATAATTAAGTGGAATTGATACTATCCCCAAAAGATTTCTATCTAACATCATCAGCTAGTCAGTTAATCAGTTCTATGTATCAACACTGCTAGCCAAAATAATATCTGATCAAAATATTGGAACTAATAATGTAGATGATGATATTCACAAAAACTCACCGACTAATGTCAAGGCATCAAACTGCTGCGGCCTCCACAGAACTTTTGTCTTTTTTGCTTTTCCTGCCTCGCTTTCTTGTGACTTTCTCTGGCATAGGAGGCAAAATCTTGAGGCGGTAACTCTTTAACGAAGGTCCAAATATGCTATACTTTCCAGAACTGCTAAAAGCACTTTCTGCATCAATGCGCCTTTTGAAAACAACTCTAGCGCAGTTAGTTTTCTGTAGCAGCACTGTCTTAGACTCAATTAGAGGCCCGTAGCTGGCAAAGATCTGGTTCAGATCGGTTGTTGAAGGAACCGACTCAAAATTTGTAAACTTCAGAGTAAGAGCAGTTGGAGAACTCTCTTTCACTTGTTCCACGTTGTTCGAAGGTTCTGATACGAGATTTACATCCGTATCATGATCCACATTGTTGGAAGGTTCTGATGTCAGATTAAGAGCAGTTGGAGAACTCTCGTTCACATGTTCCACATTGTTGAAAGTTTCTGATATCAGATGTACATCGGTATCATGATCCACATTGTTGGAAGGTTCTGATCTGAGATTCACATCAGTAGTATCATGTTGCACATTGTTGGAGGGGTCTGATCCGAGATTTACATCAGTAGTATCATGTTCCACATTGTTGGAGGGATCTGATCCGAGATTTACATTACTATCTTGATGCATTAAACTCGAATCATGGCTAATTTCTGCAGCCTCCAAAAGTTTCTCTCTTTCATCTTGTTTTTTTAAGAGTGTCTCCTCTTCAAGAGTGCTTTGTATTATTCTATCAGTCCAATAAGAATCATTGCAAAGCTCCATCGGTGTAGACATAGAAGCTGTAGCAGCAGCAGCAGCTTCTACAGAAGCCATTACTCCAGTCTCACTATCTTGCTCTTGTTCTAAAGACAATCCCTCATGAAAGAAAGCGGCATTGTTCCGGCCACTGAATTTTCCAAATTCTGCAAAGTAATATATCATCTCACTGTAGCAACTTTCTCTTATAGGATCTTTGGCAACCGAGCATAGTTGAGACCACAAATCATCTGGGCATACATTCTGTAATTGGGTGGGGATTCCAGTTTCAGAATTATTGAAACAACGGTCCGAACTATTGCAAGCTATTAACTTCTGTTTTCTGCCACGCTGTGAAGTTGAACTATTACCAGCAATTTGGAAATTCTCGAAACAATAGCCAGAATTATCCCAAGCTATTAACTTCCGTTTTCTGCCACGCTGTGAAGTTGAACCATTGCCAGCAATTTGGCAACCCTCGAACCAATAATCAGAACTATTGTAAGCTGCCTTTGGTTTCCTTACACGCCATGAAGTAGATTCGGAGTTCTGCAAAATGCCTTGATCGGGTTTCAAAACTGGTTCATTAACTTGATCAAACTGCTCTTTCTCTCTTAGCGGTAGAGTTTCCGTATCATTCTCAAACAACAGACCAAGCACGGCAAACTCAGGCGGTTTTGAATAGCCTTTTGAACGCTTAAAAGCCGACACTTGGGCACTAACACTTGCAAAATCCAGTCTATCAAACTCAGTAAGTGGTGACTGAGCTAATGATTTAACAATACCAACACATTCCGCCGGTTCAAACGATGCTGCACCTATAAACCTGTCCCCATCATTTCCTCTACCTGATTGATCAAGGGTTTCAGCATTAGCAATTACTTCTGTTTTCAGCTTAGAGAATACTTCTTCAGGAACACAAGGACAACACAGGCCAACCTCAACACGTCTCGAAACTTCCACTACAGCACAATCAACAGCATGGCGGAAAATTTCCATATCGCTCTGTTTCTCAAATTCGGAGAAATATTTATGAAATGGCTTTATCATTGATGCATCAACCCAAGCAAATGTTTGATCTCCGAAATATGCTATCAGGTAACAGTTTTCCTTTCGGTGCCTCTTTGCCATCTCAGATGCAACGGAAGGATCATAGATCTGACCAGGCCACCAAGGATGGCCCCTAACCTTTCCCCATACCAAATCAGATACACGATAGATAACATCGGAAAACACCGAATCACTTGCCACATTATCCTCCTGAGTGTTTCTACAAGAATTAAGATCCACAACAAGATCTAAACCACTACAGTCATATCGATTATCCTCCGAGTTGGCTTCACCAGAGTTATCGATGCCTTTGATATAATTCTGAATCACATTTACTTGTCCATCACACAGAAAGGCCTTTCTCGAAACCGAAACATTCATATCCAAAGACTCTTGTGCATCGACATCCATGTTTTCAACCCCATCCTCAGCTTCTTGAACCTCGTTACTCAATGCAGCCTTCTCCACATTCTCACATTCTTGTTCAATCTGAACACCATCATTCAATCCAAAAACCAAACCTTTATTAAACTCTTCACCTCCGCCAGAACATTGAATCACACATTTCTCTTCACCTCCACCAGAACATTGAATCACACTTTTCTCTTCACCTCCACCAGAACATTGAATCACACTCTTCTCATCTTCATTCTCCACCAACGCACGTGAAAATTTTTCTACTTTCTCATCAAACCTACCCTCACATGAAATTTTTTCTACTTTCTCATCAAACCTACCCTCACATGAAATTTTTTCTACTTTCTCATCAAACCTACCATCAACAACACCAAACATTCCTCCATCCTCCAAACCATTCACTTTTTCTTGACAAAAACCCTCTTTTTCACGGACATTAACGATAACATCACACCCTGAGTTCATGTGAAACCCAACCAGGTCCATTGAACCATCGGTTCCTCCAACATCACTGATTAGGGTTTCAGAACAAGAAACACCAACATTAACATTGGACATTGTTGAAGAATCAAAACCCAAAACCTTATTCTCTCGATCAAATAAAACATCATCACCATTCAAATCATTTCTGTCTAAATTTTCAGCCATTACAACCAAAAACCTAAAACAAAAAACATGCATGCATTCATATTACAACGATGTAAACTACAAAAACGTTATAACACAATACTATAATATGAAGGATCAGAAATTCATACCTGTTTTAGAAGCAGAGTCTTGTTGTTTTTTTCCGTTTGTTTGAATAGAGAGAAAATAGATGGTTTTTTCTTGACATGAATGTTGAAACAGAACTCATGTAAAGTGAGAAACGAAACGTTTAAGAGTGTGAAGTGTGTGAGAAAATCTTGAGGGATTTAGAGAGAGAGAAAGGTGTGAACCATTAAGAAAGCGTGCTATAGTTTTAGTTTGATTTCGTACCAGAAAAGACAAGTTTCGTGTCCGAGCCTTATGTTTGATGCGTGTTTATTGTTCGACGCGTGTCATTTTACTGATTCGTGTTTAGAGAATATATAAAATAAATTTATAGATAATAACATGTTTAATAATTACACAATATAAATAAACATAACAAAAATAAATAATTAAAATCATATTAATAGTAATTAGTATAAATTTTGAAAAACTTAGATTTTTTTATTTGATTTAAATTTAATTGATGTGCATCTTTCATATGTAATAATATCATTTAAAGATAAACAATATGAGAAAGGTGTTTAGCTTCATCAAGTATGCAGAAGTAGAAGATGAAAAATGGTTAGTGTTCTGGACTGGGCCCGTCCTGGCCCAAAAGCAAGAACGAAAGTCCAATCCAAGCAACTCTACAAGAGGCGTGTGTTCGAAAGATTTCTGCCAGCACGTCGACCAGAAGCTACAGTCGTGCCCGCCGTGCCTGCGGACACGACGTCGTCGACCCCATGAAATCCAGCTCGAGTCCAGCTCGAGCACCCTCCTCGTAGGGCAGACTATGACCGTCACTCCATCACCTGAACTCCGGAAAGATCGCGTCCTCGTCCATCCGTACTTCTCGCAGAGCGTCACCAGGAAGGGGACCACGTGCGGGTCCCCACTACACACGTAGAACCTGGCAGTTCCTTTATTGGGTCAGTCTTGGTCGGCCCAATGAAGGGACCTTGGCCCCGCGCTGGGGGCTATAAATACCCTCTATTCCTAGAGGGTCAGGTATTCATTCTCTTACCCATATACACACTTTTTGCCTGCTCGTACTGCCACTCACTTTAGCATCGGAGTGCCTTGCAGGTACTGCCCCATCTCGTTCAACTTCAGCTCGGAGCCAGTCGTGACGGTCCAAGTCTGATCCGGTAAGATCAGTGGCGCCGTCTGTGGGAATCTAGCTTCCCCGTCTTGCAAAAAATCAAAGACCAAAGCTCAACTCAACTATCACCGTCATGGCTGACCAAGTTCGTGATGAACAAAACATTGTGTCGTCGACACCAACAACGGCCTCGCGGATAAAAATGGACACCCTGTTCACAGTGATTTCTGGTAAACAACCGCTAGTCTTCCAAACTATCGAATAAACTTAATTACTGTTATTCAATTTCTCTGGTAACTTGCAGGATCGACTAGATTGATCCTATGGGACATAGTTGTTTGGCTAAATCTAATTGTAAAACTGGTATTCATATTTAGGACTTTTAATTAAAGTGTTTCAAAGACATCCAATCCACTTCGATTACTACACTAAATGATTCGAAGGATAATTTCTATATGATATAAGGAATGTTCATTAGAAAAGTAAAAAGACTTAAGATTGGGTAAATGGCAGGATTAAGTGAGTGAATGTAAAAGTTGTTTAATGTTTAAAGGATTCGAACATAAGAAAAGCGTTTAAATGCAGAAAGAAATAAATGACTTTGAATATAAAAGCTTTAATGTAAAGGCATGAACGTAAAAATGTTTGAAGCACAAATGAAATGGAAATGAAAGACAAAACTGGAAAATATAAAGAGTTTTCATTGAATTGTAAATGTTGGTGTTATCATACGTACATCTTTCGAGCATTCGTTTCCCTATCCATGCGGTATTTTGAATGTTTACTAAATTTGTACAATAGATATGACACACCGAAATCCTAACACTAAGACCTCTATTTATACTATTTCGACCATAACGGTCTTGCTATCAGAATCTGCCACGTTCGAAGCATGCAGAGCATTACTTCCCTCTAGCCTCCACGCGTCCTTGAATGCTCCAACGCTTATGTATTTGAATTTCCAATATCCCGCTCACGTTTGAATTTCAAACGCCTTGGAACCTTCGTTTCGAATTCGTTTCAAAGGTTATTTTCGAAAACAACCTTCACAAATATAATCTCATCATTATTTCAAAAATTCTTTAGACTTACACTCCACAACTATCATTCGAAACCTTGAACTTTAATATTTCCATTCGAAAAAACATTCTCTTCCATTCCAAACCATAAAACTTGCTTTATTCAAACAAAGCCCAATCATTTCATTTCGAATCACAATATCAAAATCTTCAGCCAACAAAATGCCCCTTTAAAATATGTATTTCGAACCCTTTGAGAAATACTTATTTTAAATAGATTCACAAGATTTTGATAGGTCTTTTGAAGAATCATGACATTTACTGTGCATGACTTTACCCACGTCAATCAAGACGCCTCTTTGAGTACCTAATCGTCTTGGACCAGTTACCACAGCATGGTGCGGTTTTAAAAATAATGATTACTATTAATCACACTCATTACCAACACTAGATCTTACGCCACCTCTCTCTGAATCCAACCAACGACTTCCACGTACCCCTAGTCTTATTTAGTGGGTGTTTACACTCACTCTTCCACACTCTCTATAAAACTCATTAGTTTAGTCTTTTCTTCTTTTTCTCCACAATTCTGAAACCCCCCTCTTTTTTTCACTAAACCCTAAAACTTCCAGCAATCTTAACAATGTCTTCATCAACATCATCACAACTGAAGAAATCATCAAAGAGGAAGAACAAGAACAACAACACGGGAATTGTCATGGAGAGCAAGGTGGGTACTTATTAGAATCAATTTGTGCTCAATCCTCAAGTGATCTCCAAAGAGAAAGAAATGTTGTATGCTTATCAGGTATTAATCCCTACCATTGTTGCTGGAAAAAGGTTTGCCCTAATGAGTCCTTTAACCGTTTTTGAAATTCTGAAAGATACTAGGAAAATTTTTCGCATTTGCTATAAATTCAAACCCCTATTCAACAAGATGGATGCCCCTAAGGCAGGAACTGAATACATAAGCGAATCATCTGATTCGAAAACAACTGAAACTCCAGTCTCACCTCCAAAAGATCCTTTTATTTTAGATTACATCAAAAGCAATTTCAAACCATTTCGATCCTGCCCCACTTCAGATGTAGCATATCAAAATTGGCTCACTAAAGTAGAATCCAAAAAATCCCAGCAATGGGAAGAATTAGGAATTTATAATTTAATCAAACTGTCGAAACCAGGCTTTACTTACAGTCACCCATTGTTATTTGCTTCATTGTACTTCTGGGACAGCACTTATAACACTTTCCACCTTCCGGGCGGAATGATAACACCCACCTTCTTTGATATAGCTGCCATCACTGGTCTTTCACCAGTGGGGGAAACTTATATTCCTGATAACGAAGAACATTCTAGCATCATTGACTTCGATGTCAAACTAGCTAGCTTTTCAAAATTCATCAGCCATTATCATACTGAAGGGGATGATGTCTCAGACGTAGAACATATCGCTTTCCTTACCTTGTGGCTATCATGATATGTGTTCTGCAGCAGATCCTTGCAAGTGGCAAGTAGGTTCATTCCCCTAGCCAGGGATTTCCATGAAAATAGGAAAGTCTTCCTGAGTGAACTGCTACTTGTCGATCTTTATGAGAGCTTAAGGTCAGCAGTTTCTGGTTTAAAATCCCATGCTCCAAAGAACATTCTTCTGGCTGGACCCTTTTGGTTGCTTCAACTATGGCTTAATGCCATGTTCGAATCTTCTTTATCAACTGCTGATACTATCATCGAACAAGATCCAGAAATAGCTGACAGGATCATCGAAGGCACAAGGCTTCGAAAGCTTACTCCAAATGATGACAAGGATGATTTCAAAGTCCATTTTTCTAAATACATCATGATCTTCTCAAAAAGACACAAGTTCGAAGAGTCCATGGCACCTTTTGCTCAAAGGACTTGTGGACCATCATGGTTCACAACGTCTCTCTCAGAAGCTGTCAAGAGCAGATAGATGCAGGACGTTTGGAAAGCGTTTCTTCTTCCTAGGCTAATTTCCTCAAGAATTACTCCAACAAAGAATCAGATTTTCCTCCTGGCTTATCAACCCAATTTCGTTTCTCGAAAATTTGGCCTGTTCCAATTAATTCCTGAACCTTTGTTCCAAACACAAAGTGCCATAACCTCAGGAAAAACGTTCAAAGCAAGAGAGGCCAAATTACAACAGGAGCAATATCAAGATTTTGCTCAGTTCGAGCTTTTACCTTTCGAGCCGACATACTTCACAGCAAAAGGATTTCTTGAATGGTGGACTAAGTTCTACCAGACATATATGTTTGACACACTCACCATTCAACAAAAGCTAACTGGCGCGTTCAATGTGCAGGTACACTCCAAGAAAGGTATGTTCACTCATGTCAAAGAAATTAGGGCTTTTCAAAATTATTTCGAAACCACTTATGATCCCACACACTTGGAAACCACTGTACATCGAGCGGCCGAGACCTTGAAGGAAAAATTTAAAGAAAAAATTTCTGAGTTCAAACTTCCTTCAGGGTTGTCACCTGAGGATAGGTATAGGTTGGCACTCGAAATGCATCCACCTAAATTTCCTAGGTTGCCTACCTCATAACTGGCTTTGGCTTGGTTTCCTCCATACCCTTGGTGGTTTACTTGCAAAGAAATGTTCAAATACCAATCTCGAAAGAAACTAAAGCCATCTGAGACTGTGACATGGGCTCGTTACTGGCTTCATAATTTCCCAGGACATCTTCGCTATGACCTTCCTGCCATTTCGATTACATCTAATCAAGGCACAGGTGCGAATGCTTGGGAAAATTCCAATTGTATCCTAA